ATGTAGTAGTTACAAGGATTTGAATGGTCACATTTACGAAATATCCAAAATATAAAGGGTGATTCCGAGAATAAAATATCCGAACCAACCCACCTGACACTCAGGCGTGATAATAAATATAAATGTTAGTGCAACAAAAAATTTATGAATTTCACAATTATTGAAAATGTTAAGCAATTACACTAGCCTTATTATACTTACTCAGTAGCATGCATCTTGTCAATCCTTCAAACATGTTAGATGCTCAATATATATATACACACACACACACACATACAAGGTCATCATTAGTCGGGTGCCAATCTCCATGTTCTATTTCCTACTCACAACTTTCATGATATAGACATGCACTACCTAAAAATTCAAGACATTTTGTCGTCTATGAATTTTACTCTTCATGTCGTTTATTAGCCACATTCCAAGACTACTAATATTTTTGTGTTTGTTCGCTCTTTTCCCTTTCCCCAACACATCTTGTAATATGACAACTATATCTGATCAATTACGTCTTTTTGTTGAGAAATAGTTTAAATTACGTATTAATAAAGACTTAAATCTACTTTTCTTTTTTCCTTTTGAGATTTTGAATCTTTTAATATGTGGAATATAAACAAATTTCATTCATAAGTAATAGTCATGTTAGATCATTATGTGTTTGAATTGGATAAAGTAACAAAGTAACAAAACCTTTAACTTTCTTTCATTTTTTTTATCTTTATCTTTATTGGATTAGTGGAAGACGCTTGTTAGATCATGCTTTTGAATTGGCTATAGTAACAAAACGTCAAAACCTTTAAGTTGCTTTCTTTCTTTTTTGGATTAGTGGAAGACACCTGTTAGATCATTATGTATAACAAAACCTTTAAGTTGCTTTCTTTCTTTTTGGGACTAGTGGAAGATAGTGGGTTGCATGATTTGATGGCCAAATTGGGTATTTAGTCTTGTCTACATTTGAAATGAATGAGAATAAGCCCTTAAATGTTTTTATATGAATAGAACGAAGTAAGATTTCTAGAAAATGGAATTATATAATAAATGTAGAAATCGGTTGTGAGTTAAAAGTGGTGATACATAAATAGCAAATTGAAACTGGTGCATAACGAATGACTTGAAGTTAAACGAAAGATGAAGGGCTCATCCACTTATAAACAAAATTAATCTATGTGACTTATAGGTATGGCAAAGTCTCCGTTGTTTTTCAATTTCAAATGCCAAACATGTAAGTTATTTTCAATTGGAATGAACATTTTGTTGCGTACCTTAATTGCTGGATAATCAATGAACTGATGCAGTCAATATATATGTCTGATATAGGATCCATGTACTCTTAGTGTGGCACTGTATAACTGTGAAAAATGAAAAAAAAATATCATAGAATAAGCGGTCCATTCAATAAACAAAGATTTTTATTGCAATTTAATATAATTTTTTCTTCTCAAAGTCTACATTGCCAGCCTCTTATTCAATTAAGAAATTGCAAATTGCCATCAACATTCTTAAACAATAAATACTTGCATAGTGTATATTGCACGAATGGGAGGAACAGATCCTGATTGCTTTCATTTTGATTCACTTTTCTATCGTTCAAGCTGTGATAGGAGAGAACAAAAATGGCTTATGCTCATCTTCTTTCTCTTACTCACGTTCTACAGCGCACGCTGAAATATGATTGTTCATATCTTCTTCCTGGTGAGAAACAACAAATCGATTCCCTCCTCGAAAAAGTTGTCTACTTGCAAGATTTTCTTGATAATTTTCCGCTAGAAAACATCGAATCAATCGAAGGTTTGGAGAGAAAGATCAGCGATGCAGCATGTCAAACTGAAGATATCATTGAATCCTGCATTGCAGATCGAGTTCTTAAAAAATCTGCAAGTCATGTTGGATACATCTTTAAAACTTTATTTTATGTCTTTACAACTTTATGGCATAAAACAGCGAAGGATGACATCTTTACAACTTCATTCCATGAAATAGCCACACTAATTGAAGAAGTTGATTCCATAAAGACAAGGACAAAGAAGATTGAGGATGAGAGTGGCATACAAGAAGGTTTGGATTGCAGCACCTCGTTGCCTGTTGGTTCATTAAGACCAGTTTCTTCAGGTCAGAGCACTATGGTTGGTCTTGATGATGCCATGGTGAAGATCAAGGATCATCTAGTCAGCAGTTCATCAAAACTTGAAGTTGTGTCAATAGTCGGCATGGCTGGCATCGGTAAGACTACACTCGCTCACAAAGTTTACATTGATAAATATATTGAGCATCACTTTCACATTTGTGTTTGGTGCACTGTCTCTCAAAAATATAATGGTCGAAAAATCCTACTAGGCCTCTTAGATTCTATGGAAAATCAAATTGACACACATGGAAAGTTCAATGATCAATTAGGAGAACTTCTGTACAAGAAGCTAAAGGGTAGGCGGTATCTTCTTGTAATGGACGATGTGTGGGATATCGAGGCCTGGGAGAGTGTGAAAAGATATTTTCCAGAAGACAAAACTGGAAGTCGAATCCTTTTGACTACTAGGCTCGAGAGTGTGGCTAATGATATCAACTCTGGCCCTCGTCTTCATCATGTGCGTTTTCTGAACGACAAAGAAAGTTGGAAGTTATTTTGTCAAAAGGTGTTTGGAGAAGGTTTTTGCCCTCCTGAATTGGAAGAAATCGGCAAGAAGATTGCTCAAAATTGTCAAGGACTTCCACTTGCAGTTGCTGTGATTGGGGGCCTCCTATCAAAGGCCACTAAAACACCACATTATTGGAGAAGTATTGCAGAAAATTTACGTTCAGAAATAACTTCAAATGATGAGCAATGCTCTAAGATTCTTTCTTTAAGTTATAAAAATTTGCCTTATCATTTGAAAGGGTGTTTTCTATACATGGGAATTTTTCCGGAAGATTTTGAAATAAGAGTCAAGGTACTTACCAAGTTGTGGGTTGCAGAGGGAATCCTCAAACCAGCAAGCTATAAAACGTTGGAAGATGTAGGAGAGGAGTACTTTTTGGATCTTGTTCAAAGAAGTCTTATTTTGGTTCGAAAGAAAGGGTCCAGTGGGAAAATTAAAACTTGTACAATTCATGATCTGTTACGGGACCTTTGTGTCAGGGAAGCTCAAAAGGAGAAGTTTTTCCACGTCGTTGACAGGAGTTTCTATCGTACTAAAGAAATCACTAGTATGCGCCGTGTAAGTATTAAAGCACCAGAATCATTTATTCCATTTTACTATGCGGCTAAAGGGACTCTCCAGGGTGATGACAAAACACCATCGTCTTTAAAGGGATTGCTTCATTCTTCAATTGTAAAAGCTTCTTGCGATTCTAGGTCACTTAAAGTGCTGCATATCGAGGGAGTGGATTATTTGCAAAATGGAATGCAAGAATTGGTTAACATGCGGTACTTCAATTCCAACTCTGAGTACAATATTGCTTCAATATATAAATTTCGGAATCTACAAACAATAATTAGTCACGACAGGATCCATAATCTACAACCAGAAATATGGAAGATGCCACAATTAAGACATGTCAAGTTGAAATTTACTGCAAGTCTTCCTGATCCTCCCATTTCAGAAATTAAGGGGGAAGAAAATTCTATTGTTGTTCTAGAAAACTTGCAAACACTCTCAATGATACGTGGATTTAGTTGGACAGAGGAAGTCCTAAAAAGAATTCCAAATCTACGGAAATTGGCTATCTGTTATGATTTTGCGACAGAGGCTGATTGGAAAAAATACCATATCAATAATCTTGTCCATCTAACTAAACTTGAATCATTTAAATGTCGTATTAGATATAGGTGCTCTGAATTCCTAGTCGATCTCACTTTTCCAACATCACTCAGAAAATTGATTTTAGACGGCATCAAATTTCATCCCTCCAAATTGCCAATTCTTGGTTCGATGCCAAATCTTGAAGTGCTGAAATTGAGATTGAGTACCTTCCTTTGTCAGGAGTGGGAACCAAATGAAGGAGAGTTTCTTAAATTGAAATGTCTGCTATTATACAAAGTTGAACTGA